CCACCGTGTCGAAGCCTTTGTCCTTGATGAAGACTCGCTACGATTCACAGAAGTTTTTTCCTTGGAGAAGATGCTCAACGTTTTGCCATCCTGGGATCCCTTGATCGCCTCCAGCAGCTTTTCAAAATTGGCCTTTTCTTTGTCGTTCTTATCCCGAACCAAGAGCTTCACCGACGGAATGCCCTCCTCACCGTCCTTCTTGATCTGCTTCAGGAAATCGACCTTCTTCTTGCTGGTCAGGAATAAGATTAACTTTTCGCACAGCACCGTAGTCGTATGGGTCAGTTCGTATCCCAGCAGCCAGGTCTGCAGCGAGGTTGATTTGCTGTAGGGGAAACAGTCCTATTATTGCGGTACGTTAGAAGCGTTAGAAGCCTATTGTTGTGTATGGAGGTTTCCACTCACTGGGGACTTCAATGCGAAGATTGGCTCCGACAACACGGACTATGAGCGTGTCATGGGACGCCATGGTCTCGGCGAAATGAGCGAGAACGGTGAGCTGTTTGCAGAATTTTGTGGCAATAACGACATGGTGATCGGGTGCTCGTTCTTCCCCCATCGGCCAGTGCACAAAGTCACGTGGGTTTCCCGTGATGGACATACCGAAAATCAGAATAAACGCAGCGCCGACATCGCGTCTGATCATCACCTTCTAATCGACGAAATCCGCCTACGCATGGTGCGGATCCAGCGACGGGAGGAGAGACTCGGGCGGCGGTTCAACACACGCCGACTTGAAGACCCAGCGGTAAAAAGGTCTTTTGTCGAAAAACTTGAAACTCGAGCTGCGGACGTTCCAGAAGGTGGCAGCGTAGAAGAACAATGGACGGCCATCAAGAATGCCTTTATAGAAACAAGCGAGAACAACTTGGGTGAGCTGTGCACCCAGAGGAAAGAGTGGATCACAGATGAAACCTGGTGGAAGATTGAGGAGCGTAGAGAAGCAAAAGCCGCGATAGAGCGGGCGAGAACCAGAGGAGCCAAGAACGAAGCCCGTCAACGGTACTCGGCTCTAGAGAAGGAAGTCAAGCGTTCTTGCAGACGGGACAAGCGAGTGTGGGTGAACTCCCTGGCCGACGAAGGGGAGAAAGCCGCAAACACTGGCGATATACGCCTCCTCTACGATATCTCACGACGCCTGAGTGGAGCAAGGATGAACCCGAGGATGCCAGTGAAGGACACGACTGGACAATTGCTCACCGACCCCACTGACCAGCTGAAACGCTGGTTTGAGCACTTCGAACAACTTCTTCAAGTTTCAACGGCCAACCAGCCATCAACAACTTGGCATGATCCGCCTAGGGTGTGGGGCATCGCTCGCGTCAATTCCGAGGCCCCATCACTGCAGGAGATTGAAGCAGCTATCCGAAGCATGAAATTCAACAAGGCTCCAGGGGTCGATCGTACATCAGCAGAGATGCTCAAAGCTGACCCCATGCTATCCGCACAAATGTTGCATCGACTACTCTGTAATATCTGGGACACCGTGACTTTTCCGGCCAACTGGATGCAGGGCATCTTAGTGAAGGTCCCAAAGAAGGGGGATCTGACTGTGTGCGACAATTGGCGAGGCATCATGTATTGTTCTCAAAGTTCTGTGCAAAGTTATCCTGAATACAGGAGAAGATCGACGTGACTCTCCGACGGCAGCAGGCAGGATTCCGTGCCGGAAGATCTTGTGTGGACCATATTGTCACGCTCCGCATCATACTGGAGCAGGTCAATGAATTCCAAGAGTCCCTTTATTTGGTATTCATTGACTACGAAAAAGCTTTCGACCGTCTCAATCACGAGAATCTGTGGGACGCCCTGAGACGCAAGGGAGACCCGGATAAAATCGTCAACCTCATCGAAGCGCAGTATGAGGCTTTCACGTGCAGAGTTCTGCATAACGGAGCCTTGTCCGACCCTATCCGGGTAGTCGCTGGTGTGAGACAAGGATGTATACTATCACCGCTACTGTTTCTCATCGTAATCGACGAGATCATGGTAGGTGCAATTGACCGTGTACCGAACCGTGGGCTGCTTTGGCAGCCTATCACCATGGAGCATCTCAACGACTTCGATTTGGCTGATGATGTTGCTCTACTAGCACAACGGCGCTCTGATATGCAGAGTAAGCTCAATGACCTAGCCGAACGCTCCTCTGCGGCGGGTCTCACCATCAACGTCAACAAGACCAAATCGTTGGATATCAACACGGGCAACCCGTCCAACTTTACGGTAGCGGGCAAACAGTGGAGAAGGTCGAAAGTTTCCAATATCTTGGCAGCCAAATAGCGTCGGACGGCGGGACCAAGAGCGACATAGGTGCACGAATCAAGAAGGCTAGGGCTGCCTTTGCGAGTTTACGAAACGTATGGAGATCCAACCAGATAAGTCAACGCACAAAAATCCGAATTTTCAACTCGAACGTGAAATCTGTGTTGTTATACGCCAGCGAGACGTGGTGTGTATCAGCGGAGAGCACTCAAAAGCTGCAGGTTTTCATAAACCGATGCCTGCGGTATATAATTCATGCCTGGTGGCCTCACAACTGGATCTCGAATGCCGAGCTCCATCGTCGATGTCATCAGAAGCCGATAGCAACAGAAATTCGAGAGCGAAAGTGCAGGTGGGTCGGCCACACACTTCGACGGGGCGGAAACGAAATCTGCAAGCAAGCGCTGGATTGGAATCCGGCAGGACATCGCAGCAGAGGCAGACCCAGGGGCTCATGGCGGCGGAGCCTCAATAAGGAAATTAAGCAAGTCGATAGGAATCTGACCTGGGCCCAGGTCAAGGCAAAAGCGAGCAGCCGCCCAGGATGGAAGTCTTTCACGTTGGCCCTTTGCACCGCTGGTGGTGCACTGGACCCTTACGTAAGTAAGTTAAGCTTCTAACGTACCGCAACGATAGGACCATAGAGGTAACTCTAAGACAAGTAGGTCCCGAAGAAACGTGCTCAACTTTTTGGATCACCTCTGGTACTATCTTCGGTCCCAAGCTTGTCGAATCACCCCTCGAAACATAGGAAAAACCAATAACCCCTCATTTTATCTGTCAAACTTTCATAGCGAATCAAAACAAACATTGCGTAGTACTAGAATTTCGACTAGAATAGGGTACGTTAATCGTTTGCTTGGGACCAATAGGCTACTAAAGTGGTGAGCCAATTTAAAATCGTTAGTTTCGTATTGATTGTTGATAGGACTGTCTACGCCGACCGCTGTCAGAATGCAATCCACCTTCTGCAGCACGATATTCAACATTTTCGGGGCCGTTGCTATTGCAAACTTTTTTTTCTTTCTTTAATATAGAGATTTTTGGCCATATGGCTAGTTCATCTATTCGCGATTGCAAACGTAAACATTCAAGCTATGCCTGGCAGTGCCGACACAATCGGCACACCAGTGGCACACTTGCGGCACACTGAGAAAAATTTTGATCCAAGATTGGTGTGTGGAGTGACCTACCGCTTGGAGTGATTCACTTCTTATTAGTAGACTAGCGTAAACAGCAAAATTGATTTTAGGCAAAACCTTTTTTTTATGGATTCGACATTTTAAGCGTTATGGAACACCTTTTGTTTTAGCAATATAAAAATAAAAATTGTTGTACATATCTCCAAACAACGAAAAACTTTCTGGGAAGGATAGGGTTATCTCATTTTCCGCAGTTTCAACCCATTTTCAATAGTTTTTATTGATTTGGAAAATCTTAATATTCGAATCATTACTTAATTAAAATGCACGTCAAATTAAGGTATACCTGTAGTTCTGACGCCACCCATTTCACGCACATTCAGCTAAAAAGCACGAGCAGAGGATGACTATTATTCATCGCGGCATTTAAGCGCACGGCGAATGAGAACGACCCAAATTAGAGTTTAGTTCACTCATAATCGCCAAAAGTGCAGGAACACAGCGATGAGTAAAATTTGTCTCATGTTTTCCCAGGTTTTTCCAGAATTTTCTAGGGAAAAATTCCCGAATTTGAGAAAAGTAAAGATTGGATTCACTCAGTTTATTGGTACTTCTCCGAGACTGAATAAAATTTTCGTCAATTTCCTCATTTTCCAGTAGATTTTTTAGGTTTTCCACAGGAAACCATGAGACAAATTTACTCATCGCTGAGTTCCTGCACTTTTGGTGATTATGAGTGAACTAAACTCAAATTTGGGTCGTTCTCATTCGCCGTGCGGATGTTTATTATTATTCTTGTTTTCCATAAGGCGGCCATAAACCTCATCTGAACTGTCAAATATCCAAAGGAGTTGCAAAAATTGCGAATCACAAGCGTCTGATAAAATCGCTTGCCATCCATTCTGACACCACTTCGTTTTTGGTGATGAACTAGGCTAAAATGTGGCTAAAAATCAAAAAGAATTAAAAAAAACTGAGCTTCCTAGCAAAAATGGTAAACTATTAACTGAACCTATTAAACTTGGCGTGTAACCTTAGCATAAATTTGAATACCATCCAGCTTATGGTAAACTACGTTACAATCGATTCTCTCTGGCTCCGTCTCTTCTTCACAACGTTCATTTCTGAAAAGCACTCTCCAGATTCACCAATATATTCTCTTCTTATATACATTTCGGTGAACCACCCCACGGCTCCCCTCATTCCAACTGCTATGCACTTTTTTTGTTATCATACTCTCCTTTCTCTTCTCTCGTCACCACACAACGGTGCAATGTGCAGCCAAAAAAAAATCATGCTGTTTTTCGCTCTCAGCAACCTCTCTCGCCACTCTTTGTTCTGCTCTGCTCTCCGTTTTTTATGCAAGACAAAGAAGGCCACATCCCGTTCCAGCGGCAGCGAAAACGTGATGCAAACAACAACAAAAAACGCACACACTCACACACTCGCGCCCGTCGTCGTCGTCAACAAAAAAAAAATGGTGAGACGTGAGAATGGGGTGGCAAAAAAATGCACCACCTCAGCGCTTGCCCGACCGATCCGAACGAAGGCAACGGCGATCGTCGCGTCATTTCGAAAACAACCTCCGTCGAGAACGGTTCGCGTAAACTTTTCTCTCGAGTCAAGTCGTTCGCGGTGTGTGTTCTGATTCTTTCTCAGAACATTGTTGTTTAGCTCGTCGCTTCTGGCGAACAACCGAGAAGCGTGTAAAAGTGTGATAGATAAAATTTAGTGGAATTTTTCCTTCGCAGGAATCTGGAAATCGCTGTTGATTCCATCCAAGTGGTGAGATTGTGCTCTTTTATATTCGGATTGTTTTTATTTACACGACGCAAGAGCGAAGCGTTCGTGCGACAAGTGCTACCCCCTTCTTTCTGGAACACGTGTGTGATTCATGTACCCCATGTCGCTAGCCTTCTCCCGGGGCCTTCTTTCGTTTATATCAAAGTGTACGTTGTTCTGTCTGACGAGGGGTGAGTGAGCAAGATAAAGCCAGCGACGCCTGCCGTCCACCACCCCCCGACGCTCGTTTGCAGTTTTTTTTTTATCAGTCTACCTAATTTCAAGTGCAATTTGTGCGAAGGTTGCAAAGAGTGTGAGAAACGATTTGATGGAATTTTTTTTCCATTGTTGAAACAATCGGCGATAGAGAGAAAAAAAACATTGATTCATTATTTGAAGGGGTTTTATAGTTATAGCAGCAGCTTTCAAGTCTCGGAATTCGAATTCAAACGGGGAAGAACAAAAATTGAAAAAAGTCAAGTGTCTCTAATGAGTGTGTGATTCAAAACATAAGGTGAGAAAGATACAGCAACAACACAGCAAACAGTAGGAATCTTCCGGATATTGGATGACCTGGAGCGAAGAAAAGAAGTCTAATCGATAAGACAAACAAATCGAAAGGAAGCAAAAAAATAAAAATCAAAGATCCATCAAAGTGATACCGGTTTGGGGAAGAAAAGGAAATACAAACACTGATAAGGCCCTGCCGCTGCGCCTTCGTTGTAGAATTCTTAAAGAAGCCCCCTCCCCCCCCTTCTTTCAGTGAGCGCAGACGAAAACAAAGTACGTCACCCAGCGCCCGTCGTCGCGCGTCTCTCGCTTCACACAATAGGGTACGGACGGACACTCGCCGACGCCGCAGCAGCAACAGCACCTCGTACTGATAACGGCACCAGCAAGCTTGGGGCCGGCTGTTGTCAGGAGTAGGGGCCAGACGATCCAATACAAAATCGAAAAAAACACGCGCAACACGCTGGACGGAAAATTTTCGGGTAAGTTTTTGATAAAAAAAAATCTGATGGTCGAGCGCGGTGGATTGTAGCATTGGGCGACCGCGCACTGAATAATCGATTTTGGTATTTAGGGAGAAGAATACTGCCGTTCTTCGCATATTTGTGCCATGTTACTTTTGGACGTTTTTAGTACTTTTTTAGGTAAATTTTCGAATGAAAATAGAAAATATGTTATTTGTTCTGGGCTTATATAAAAACAACATCAAGTCTAATTGTCCTATGTTGAAATTATACGTATAACTGTCCCACAAAAAATTTATTTACTAAATTTATCTTTACCGAATCGATTTGAGTGCACGAAAGATTGCAGCGTGCATCTGTCATAAGAGATGCCAGATCTACGGAAATCTCCGTAGATCTACGGATTTTACAATTTTTTGCGGAAATACGGATTCATAGGCAAAATCTACGGAATTCGGTACAGTTTCTACGGATTTTTATTTCTTCAGTGTACGTCTCCCTTCAGAATCGAATTTTACAATCTAGAGTATAATCTGATTCTGAAGGGAAAGAAGCATAAAGTAAAATATACCCCATAAAGTAAAATAAACTAAAATATACCTTGTCAACCGTTTTCTTGCTCACTTATCCGCTTTTTGATAGAATAATTTGGCGTTGACGGCGACTCTGTAGCTCTTCCTTCCTATGAAATATCCCGTAAGCAAACGTCAGTCTGTGCGTGAAACATGGCATCTCTTCACTCCGTCGAAAGTTCCCATAATATACTGTCAATCTTTGCTTGAAGAGAAAAGTTTTCGACGGTGCCGTGTGAAGGCGAATAAAAGTCGACTGCCTTTGCTTCCGACATTTGCAAAACAAGCTTTCAAATTACAGTACAAAACTAAAATGTCATACGACACTGTCGCCGAAGGCCGTCACGAATGTATGTAGTTTAGTTTTTCTGATAATAAGAGCTGCTAATGTTGTGCTTGTGTGAATTCTGAAAATAGCAAGCAACGATGTCCTAGCTATTATGATCCGATCAAAAATGATTTAATTTACACCAAATTTAGGAATTAGAACGAAATCGCATATGTCATATGATAGTTATTTGATAATTTTCTTTTTGCTCGAATGTTGTTCAACCGTTTGCGTTATGTAAGAGAGACGACGCTCTCTATCCCGTCAGCTCGATGATCATCAGGCCTTCAACGTGTTCTTAAAAAATCACGTAATCCATAAGTCGTCGTACTTGTCCGGCTTTATTAAGGAAAGTACGGTTAAAGCGTGGCTTTCTTATTAGATTACGACACCACTGTACCACCGCTACGGGATCACAATTGATCAGATCGCCAAAGATGGTCTTGAAACCCCTGCAGTGGATCCTCAAATTGAGCTGGAAACCATTGCCGTGGATAATGAGACAGAATTGCTGCTTGGGCAACAGGAAACGCTCCTTTGGAATGAGGACAAATGCCTGTAGATCGCTCCCGCGCAAAACAGGGTTCGTCTGTCATTAATATATGACGAACACGGCGAAAAGATAGCTTTTCCTGCCATATGTTTCGCCCATCTACGGAAATTCAAGCCAGGGGATCGGGTGACATATTTCATGATTGCATCCAGTGAAACTCGTCGTCAAGACAGGCGTGTGACCAAACCACAACATTTGTTGTATATGACAATGAAAGTTCTTCGCCTTAGAGTTTCCGAAGGCTTGCAATGCATTTTTAAATTTCCGGGGACCGTAAACATCACACGTGTCAACCTTAAGGACCGCCTTATTCATGGAGAAGTGCATTGAGTGAAATCTATCCTTCGTCAAATCAATACCGAATTCAGTACAGTATTGGCAACAAAGGAAGAGAAATTTGTTCACCATGATGCGACAATTGGGAAAGCCTACGATGTTTCTCACAATAAGTGCAAATGAGATGAAGTAGCCCCATTTGTTGAATCTCCTACATCGATTGTCAGAAGGACACAATGGCAATGACTTAACAGATCCAATCCAGGAATTGACTGCACTACAAAGAGCAACTCTGGTCAATGATGATCCAGTCACGTGCTGTTTGTACTTCATCCTGTACTACCATCGGCCCTTTTCAGGGCAACCAAGATTTTTCAAAAGAGTTAAATTTCTGAACATGTCCCAACTAAAATTCATATCAAAAACTTCTTTCATGGCAATCATAGTCATACTAAAGAGTATAAACTGAGAGAACCCCGCTCAAATTCCTATTCTATTATATTCTATTCCTATTATATAAGACCACGTAGTCCGACGTCACCATTGCGTACAACCCCATAGGGCTGTCCCTAGTAGTTTTTCAAAAGTTCTTTCATCGATTTATCATTTAACGTAAAATAACACCTTAGAACTAAAAAAATATCATTGACTAAAAAAAATCCGTAGAAATCCGTAGATTTGAATAAGTCTACGGAATTGCATAGAAAAAAATCTGGCATCTATGTGACTGTCATCGATACCAGATCTAATCTCGACTACTTTTTCGAAGGGACCTATCAGCTTTTGTAAACAATGCATTTGATCATCGGTTTGGCGTAACCAGGGATGGAAAATCATTTGCATTCATTTCGTGCATTCATTTACATTCATTTGTCCCTAACTTTTTTCAACAACAGAATTTCACAAAATAATGTATAGAGTTTTTGTAGGCTTTATTATTAACTACAACTTTTATTAACAACTCAAATCCGTATCTCTTATGCACGACGATCCAGAGCGAACAGAAGTCACTACTGTTTTTCAGTGAATGTATTTTACATTCACTGAAAAACAGTAACAAGTTCTGCCCGCTCTAGTTCGTGATGCATTAGAGATACAGATTTGAGTTATGGGCAAAAGTTGTAGCTAATAACAACACCTACAAAAGCTCTGTACATCATTCCGCGGAATGCTGTTGATGAAAAAAGTTAGAGGCAAATGAATGTAAATGAATGCATGAAATGAATGTAAATGATTTTCCATGCCTGGGCGTAACTGATAGCTCGCCCACGCATTCTAACACCACTATCAGGTAGGGGAAATGTCCCCTATCTGATGGTAGTGTAAGCATGTGTTGATGAGCTACCAGTTACGCCAAATCGACGATCATATGCATTATTTATAAAAGCTGATACGTCGCTTCTTAAAGTAATCGAGTAATCTAATCTAATCTAATATAATACAAACGCAGCCAGTACGAGAAAGCATCCTGGAAAATGATTAGGTTAGATAGCGCCTAATTATTTTTCTTGTCAACATTGATGTTTGCAGCATATCTGAGATATGACACAAACTTAAAAACGGCCAGGCCTACTGCGTTACATTTGCCGCAAAGATGATTCTGTGAAATGATTCGAGTTTAAATAAATATATTTAAACAGCGATGAATTTCGTAAATCTACAGGGGTAGAAGGATGCGTGGACATACCGTACCAAACGCTTCGAGTTATGTAAGAGTGAATTCAACAATCATATGTGATGTAATGAATGGTTTATATAATATAGTATAATTGAAGGATCTCCCCAAATACCTCCCAATGTTCCCAAAATTCCCGATTTATAGATAAAAATGGAATGATCTCACCAAAACTGGGTCTGCTTGACTGTGATCATCAACTTTTCCGGACTTCTCTATTGCACGATTTTCTTCAGTAGCCCTTTAGCTGCTGTCTCCGCCAGACGCTTCGTCTTCATCATACAGCTCGCAACGAACGCCGTAATAAAATTGATATGGTTATTTTGCTTAATGACGTGTTCCAGGTATCATCCAAACCATTTGTGGAATAGTTCTATGATTTGGATTATCATTCGTTTATGGTACTTTTTATTAGGGCGGATCTTTATTCTCTTCTGTTTTCTTCTTACCGCGTTTGTCAATCAGCACTAACGGTAGTTTAACCAACTCTTCTCATTTTAACCGAAACAATTCGCGGCTTGCAAAACGACCCGAAGGATCAAGGAATTTGTCATGTCGCAACGATGTTTTTCACAGATCACACTTTTCACACCGGCCTAAAGGAAAATGTTCGTGTGAACTTTATGCAAAAGATTGACAGCGCAAGAAATCCGAACCGTCCGCTAGCAGAGCCTACTTCGATTGACCTATCTGTCATGGGTACCAAAATTAATTGAGTGGAACTGAATGGAAGATAACCTTTTTTGCTGTTTTATTGATCCCCAAGCCTTTGGGGATTTTCCTTATTAAACAGTTGTATAGATTTTTCTCCTTTACATTACTTAAAACTTTGATTATTATTAGGTAGGTAGGTTCCGATTTAATGGCGGCCTCCCTTAGCTCAGTCGGTAAAGGCACAGCTACAAAGCAAGACCATGCTGGAGGTGGCTGGGTTCAATTCCCGGTCCGGTCTAGGAATTTTTCGGGTTGGAAAATTTCTCGACTTCCCTGGGCATAGAGTATGATTGTACTTGCCACACAATTATGCTAATGCAAAAATGGTACAGGCATCGAAAGCTCTCAATTAATAACTGTGGAACTGCATCTAGAACACTAAGTTGACAGCACGCAATAAGCTTGAAATGCGAAGAAGAAAAAGAAGTAGGTTCCGATTCTGCACGTTGCAGTATCATGTTTATACCTGTGATCTTGACATTTTGACCTAGGAAGTATGAGTACTTAAGGGGGTTAGAGTTTGATAAGTCTTTGGTGGGAATAAGACACTGATATGCATATGCATACACCAATTAATTCTTCTAATTCAAACAATGCATTAGACGGTTCTCTAGGTTCTAGTTTCAAACAATGCATTATTAGACGCTTACGTAGACACTCGCCACCCCTAAACTCTGGCCTTGATTGTCCCTACTGTACATGTTAACTCTTCCAAAGTATTTCTTGAAATAATCGAATTCCACGATCGATGGTCGTGTGACGTATTGATCTTGTGTCCGCAGCATGTCAGCCGCCTTAAATCTATGGTCGAACTCAAACCGATTAACCACAATCTCCTACGTCGGCCTACGTTCATATTGCTAAGGAGTAGAACAAGATGCTAAGAAGTTTTTGTTCTAC